AAGAATAATTTAAATACCACTGTTGAAGGGTATTTGACAATACTCGAAACAGTTGTAGAGTCAGTCAAAAATTCAATTGATAAATAAATAATAAAAATTTTTGTTGTTGCAATTTTACTACTTCTCCATAAAGACCACTATGTTGAAAAGAAGAGTTTATATTAAGAATTAAGTTTCTGTTGTCAAAATGAACGTTAAAAATGCATTTAATTTAATATTATTTAGTAATAGTAAATAAATTAGGATTAGTAATAGAATCTGCTGAATGCTTGGAATGGTTCTAAATAAATATTAACTCAAAACGATCTTTATATAAAGTTCACTATATAATAAATTTATTTAAAATTTATTTAATTAAATAACTACAACTATTGAATTTTTATTAGTGTTAAATTAGTATAAGAGAATAATATTTTATACATTTTCTGAACTACTCTATAATAGAAAAAGTTTTAACAATTTATTATTTTAATGATCAAATTTTATTTACATATTTGGGATAAGGGAATTGGTTAGCGTTAAATAATACACATCTTTTTATAATTTGTTTACCTTTAGGGTACTGAAGACGACTATAGAAATTTTAATACAAATTTAGAAAGTTATATATTACTTGAAATTAGAACAGTTAGCCTACAAAAAATATATGTAAAAGGTTCTAATTATATAAAGGTACATAATGATAATAAAGATAACTACAGACTATAATAGAAATATATATGAGAAAAGGAATTACTTAACATTGAACAATTAGCCCACACAAAAATCTTTAAAGACATCTAAATTAAATAAAGATCTATCCTGATCCATAATTTTAATGAGCGATTTCACTTCATTCTCTAAAGGCATTAATTTAGTTTCAGAGTAATGTTCTATTATAAATAATTATTTTCAATGCTTTTGAAATTATTCTACTAATTCTTAGTTAAACTTTATAATATGTATCGTTCTCAGTCAAGATTTCCCCAACCAGTCCACTTAGCAGATTAAAGTCTCTTATAAAAGTAGTAAAAAAATACTATTTTTGTACCTAATGTCAAAATTATATATACAATATGGTGTATGTATGCACTGTCATTAATAATCACTGTTTGAAGGCAAATGTAACCTCACGTGTCAGTTGGACATAATTGCTCTAACTATATTGTCACAACAGAAGCGTAGTTTTAAACAAACTTTTAGGCTCCAATAACAGTAGTTAAATGTTCAGATTTTTATATCTAATGTCAAAATTAGTAAATAACGTATATGTTTCACTGTCACTAAAAATCACTGCTTCAAGATATATATATATTTTCTAATTAATTGAATACAATTTTTTTTATTGTATCAGATTTCTTATTTAAATTAAAATAAATTGTTATTTATTTTTATTACAATTTTAATTTATTTTTAATATAATAAATATTTTTAATATTTTTGATTTATTTATATTTTTATATATTATTTTATTTTTATTATATTATTATATTTATTTATTTATACATATATGTTGCTCAGTTTGTTGAGTATGTAAAGTAGTTTTATAAAATATAATATATAAGAAAATAATGAAGTTCTTTCGACTTAATTATGGAACATTCTATTATTATTAACAATAGATATTTTATATTAGAGTTTAGAAAGTTTGGAACATATATTATTTCAATTTTATTTTATTTTATATATTATTGGACGAATTAAATGGCTAATTATTAATATAATACACATTTTTAAATTAATTTTTAATTAAAATTAATTTAAATTTTTTATAGTTAATATTTTGACTATAGTCTATAATCATCTTTAGAATACTAAAGTCATCTATTTTATTTACGAACTATTTTCACAACAATACACAAATATGCACCAAATATAAGCACTGGAATTACTTTCTCGTTAAAACACCTATTATAGAAAGCTTTATATATTTCAGTTCTTGGATTAATTAAAATTTAACTATAATTTGAATAAAATAGTATTGAATTATAATTTCAAAATGGTTTATAATTGAATTTATACCTAAATTATACTTGGTAGTTTTGAAAAATTTTCAACCTCTTTGCAGACCGGTAACTGTCGGAAAGGCTTACAGCTATTGGACAGGGATATCTATTTATCTTTTCTATGTATGATTTGTTAGATTTGGGAGTTAATTTTTTGACAAAAGGTGTATTGTTTTAAGAAATTATATGATTTTTTTTTGAAGAAAATTCTTTTTAAATCTGTAAATCACTATAAAAATAACTTTTTTTTTATTACAGTTGCATATTTTTACAAGTATTGTTATATATGTTACGTTAGGCTTAGAAATTATTTCCTCAACAAAAGCTTTAATTTTTTAATAGTTTTTGGTAGTTTTTTAATTTTAAATAAAATTTTTTTATAATTTGTTCTTGTAATGTTACTTGATAATAAAGTCAAGATGCATTCACTTTCGAATTTATTATTTTGCTTAAAAGTTAGAATAAGAAAGTGTTGTAAAAGTTTCTAGAACATGTAATGTTTGTTTATACATAATGTGTCTTTTATGTAATATATTTTATTTAATTTTTATATATGCTTCTTCTTTTATAAAATATATATTAACAAACAATTGTAAAGAGCTCTTAAATTTAATTTTGGTTATCAATATTATATATGTTTTCAACAGTCTAACTGAGACTGACTGATAAATGTCATTTTTGATTGGTTAATCTCAGGCAAAATCTATAACACTTGAATTTAATTGATAAGACATTAGTACATTGCCAGAGTAATTAAATTACTCTAAAACTAACAGCTGTCTTATGTTATTTGACAATTTAGTGATTTAGTGATTATCCTTAATATATTTAATAATGTTAAGGACATAATTTGAATAAAATTATAAATCGGTTTATAAATTTATATATTAATCGAAGTAATAGATTGAGATCAAATCTAGATGTGACAATCTAAAACGATACTAAATTTAATTATTTATAAGATTAGTTTGTTTTATGTTATTATTTATTTATGTTATTAACATTTGAACTTGTACTAGAAAATGTATGTATAGAAATGTAAACTTAACATTTATAGTGTAATCTTGACAGAAAATTTGATTATATTATGGCGGATATGAATTGTTTTTCTCGATAGAAATTTTGTTTTAATTATATTTTAGTTATTTTTAGTCGAAAAAAGTAAACATAGTTAATAAGTAGTATTAAATAAAATAAATAAAAATTCATAAAAATATTTATAAAATTTTGTATTAAATATTTAAAAATGTTTAATGTGTAAATTTAACATTTATACTGTAATCTTAACAGAAAATTAGATTTCATTATGGCGGATATGAATTATATTTTCAGTTATTTTGTTTTGATTATAAATTGTTCTTGTTAATTGTTTATTATTGGTGAAATAATATTATTGGTGAAATAAATAAAGTACTAAATAAAATAAATTAAAATTAATAAAAACAACTATAAATTTATGAACTAAAAATATTAAAATGTTAAAAGTGTAAATTTAACATTTATACAGTTGTCTAACAAAGAATTAGATATTATTATGGCGAATATGACTATACTTTCAATTATTTTGTTTTGTTTATTTATTCTTATTGATTATTGTTTATTATTAGGTATAAAAAATAAATTAAGCATTAAACAAAATAAATTGAAAATTACAAAAATTATTATAAATTATAGATTATTATATATTAATTATACAGTAGTCTTAATAGACAATTAGATTTCATTATGGCGGACTATATCTTTCGTGCTGACTCAGACATTTTTTTTCTGATTTCATTTTGTTTTTTATTGGTTAAAAAAAAAATAATAAAAGTATGAAACAAAATTAACTAAAATTTATGCAAATATTTATGAATTATAATATAGGAAAATATAAAAAACAAATTAAATAGGAATCAACAGTAAATTCGGTTACAGTATGGTGGACTATATCTTTTTTGCTGACTCAGTAAATTTTTTTTTTGATTTTATGTTGTTTTTTATTGGTTTAAAAAATTAATAAAGTATAAAATAAAATTAATTAATTTATTAAATATTCATAAAATTCATATAAATATGTTTTAGTTCATAAATTAGTATTTAAAAATCTTTGATTTAGCACTATTACAAAAATATGTGGTATCAAAAATTATTATAAATAAGATTTTTTAAAAATAAAACTCACCTCAGTTTCGGCTTTATATATCATTAGAGTATTTACGATCCAATTTTGTTATAGTTCATTGTAGTATATATTATACTAATTTTTTTCTTGTTAGCACAATGGTTGTTATAGTGATTTTTGTTTGTAATAAAAACACTTAATAGTAAAATTGCACAGTTTTAGACATTTTCGTGTATTTTATTGTTTTATAAAATTTTTTTATTAACAGTTTTATATGATATTTTAGCACAATATTCATTTATGTTATGATCCATTAAGTTTTAATACACAATTATTACGAAAACAGTTTTTAAAATTCATAAAAAGTTCAAATATCTTAACATTTTTATGTTTTATAACTGAAGTCCAACATTTTGTTTTAATTAGAATTTATTATATCCAATATAAGTTGTTTTTTGTTTTTTTTTTGTGTTTTTAATTCCAAGTTAATTTCAGAGACAGACTTTGGAAAACTTCTATTAGAAGTATGTGGTGCGAATTATGAAAGGCTCGGGACACGACCAATTCGTTAGCTAACTGATGTTCATCTAAATGTATCTGAACTATTTCAAAATTAATTTGGTAAAAAGTTTCGAATCTGTGAACTGAACTGAACTGAACTGAACTGCATTCGACTGAATTGCACCGAAGCTGAGCTAAGTTGTTTGAAACTGCGCCGAGTCGAGCTGTGCGGAGTATAATAACTGCCGCTGCTGCCTTGGCCAACGTTTATGTTTATAATAACGTTAATAATGTTGCCTTGTGGTTGTGTTGTCAATGTTGATGTTGTTGACGATGTATTATGTATTTTCGTAATTTTATTCCTTTTTTTGTTGTATTCTTAATTCTTCTTTTTCTTTTTTTAAATTCTTCTCTTACTTTTTTTTTAATTTTTCGGCATTTCTCCTACCAAGCAACGTGCTCACGTTTATTTGCAATCCTACCTCAGCACCACCGCGCATTTTAATTTCACTCAAACTCACTCAAATCACATGTAGTTGCACGCAGAGCTACTCAATTCGGGATGTAGGCTCAAATGCGTTAAAATAAGGCGCGATTGCCGTTTATGGATGGCATGGACTCTATTGAAATATCGGCCTATCCCCTGCGACTTGATGCATGAGTGAAACCGTCCAAATATAAAAATCAACCCAATTACAAAAAGAACACACGGCAAATAACTAAAAAAAATAAATAAAAATAATTAAAAATAAAAAAGAAAGTCCATATAAAATAAAAGAAAAATTGTGCAATCAAAACATATTCCAAATGGACAAAACAAAAAAAACAAAAACAATTTTTAATAAAAAAATAAAAAACAAAACTTTTTTAATAAAAACAAATCTTAAAAAAAATATTCAATAAATAAAAAAATAAAAAAAATTTGTTATATGAAAAAAAAAGAAAAAATATACCTGATTTTGAAGCCCTATAAAAATATGCACCTTAAATGCATGTTTCTCCTTCTCCTTCCATTCCTCTAAGATTGCTGCTGCTGCTGCTGCAGAGAGAAAGCTTAATGCAACGCATATAACAACATAATGCTGTTGCAAATGAGTAATACCGCTTTCGTCCTTTTTTACATATAGTTAATTCAAACGCTGACGTTGTGCTGCTGCGTCTCTGTTAACTGCATGCAGCTCTTTTATCTCCAATATTGTGGCCTGGCCACTACAACGAATTTAGTGCAATAAATAAAAATTTGCTCAAAAATAAAATAAAAAACTGCAAAAAAATAAAAAAAAAACTTAAAAAGGTATATACTAAAAATCAATTCAGAAATAAAAAAAAAAACAAATAAAAAAAGAAAAACAAAAATGTTAAGCAAACACCAGTTGCTGGAATAGAGCATTTGGAGAGAATACGAGGACGGTGCATTTTGGGCATGTGTGCGTGGAAATTTGCAGGACATGTGTGCGGGATGCATTGCGTTAGTCGGTCGTTGGTTGGATGATTTGCTTTTTTCGGCAATCTAACATACGCACACACACGCATAGGCTCGACTAGTAGAATAAAAGTTTTTTTTGTGTTTTTTTTTATTTTTTATTTTTTTTTTGGATTTTTGTGTGGCTCTACTTCGAGTAGAAAAAATTTGTGCAGCCTACTGATGTTATTACTGATGTTATTGTTGTTGTTCTTTTTTGTCAAAACAGCCCCTATCCCCAGTGCAATTAATATGAATAAATGCAATGTCAACCCCAGTAAGTAAAGTATTTGTTAGCTATGACGGTGGAGCAAAATATTAAATGGGGAAAAAAAATGTCTCGCTTGAAAAAACAAATATTTGAGAGTCACAATTGGAAAAGTTAATAGATGTTTTGTGAATAGAGTTCCCAGCACTACTTGAGTTTGCGAAGAACGTGAGCATCCTATAATATGCCTTGAACAAATTAGTAATGGTTATGGGTAGCCAACCTGGCTATCAAATCAAAAGCCGCTTGAGACATTTTGTAAAAAAAAATGCCTGAGATTAGGGATCACAATTTGAAAAGTAGACAGATGTTTCATGATTGGAGCTTTCAGCACTTCTAAAACTTACTAAAAGCGTTGATATACTTAAACTTAAACTTTTATTAAACATAGTAAAAATTATTCATACTTAAGTGTGGCATGTGGCTAGCCAGGTTAATTTTTATTTGCTTCGCTTGAACGAAGTGTAAAGCTATCGAAAGTCCAAGTTAGTTTAAGACCTGTACTCACGAAAATTACTCAGTTTTCCGACAGTTAGCGTTTTGGGAATCACCGATTTGATACTTCCTCAAGAGGCCGTTTAGAGCACGAAACTCAAATGTCTGCCTTTTTGTTGTCATTTGATCTACTGAATTAATTATTTTTCCTTTGTATTATTATATATCCTCATTGCAGTTGTGTTTCTGCAGTTGGTTTTATTGGAAGCACCTTTCTTGGTTATGCGAATAGTGATATTGCGTTGGGGTCCTTTTCGATGGTGGTAGGAGATAGTAGCAGACCTAGAAGTTACTCGAGAAGTGTTAGTTTCTTTTTAAAGCTGTCACAAGGACAATTTCCTTTTCTGCAGTGTTTTGACAGTTTCGACAATAGGGATTATCTGCCAGCTACAATCTTTCTCCACTTACTCTACAAGGTTTTGAGCTATAATTTATAGAGAAATCTAAATTTTTGGGTATTATTTTTTGACAGAAAACTTAATTGGAAGCAAAATACTTTCGGACAAGCAAGGAAAGCGAATGTTGCTCTTCTTCTCTTGTAAAAAGTGGGGGTTACAAACATAAATAATTTCATCTGTATGAAACAGGTGGCATAAGATCTATACTGCTGCACAGCATTACATTATAGTGGACGGCCTTGGATAATCTACTAAACAGGGTGCAGTGTAGGGCTGAACTCTGTATTAGTTATGCATTTTGTGGTATTTATTTTTCGCGTTAATCTTACAAGTAAACATATCTAAACAAATCAAGAGCAGCATCATCTGCTCTAAGACTTGAAGCTACTTTACAGTGGAAGACTAGAGATCACAGCTCCATTCTTAGTGTTTTCAGTTTAACGCTAAAACATATTGACTCCATTTTCTGCATTTATAATTTCGACAGAAAAATAAATGCTAACCTTCCATCGAAAAATAATTGGCTGTTAGGGGGTCCCTCATTTGAAAAGAATTTTTTCATTTTTACTGAAGGCACAGCCGATTACGAGAAACCATGCTATATATATTTCAATTTATTTTAACTCTTATGTAAACGAAATATAATGTATTTTGATTTATATGGATATTATATTTTTGAAATATGTGTGGAAATTTTTCAATTTCATCCACTGTTAAATATACTCATTAAATCTAGTCATATAGGCTGTTCAGCGCAAGGCGGCAAGTGCACGCACGTCACAATAATCAGCAAACTTTTCAAATCCCTCCAATATAGGGCCAAAAAAAATAAAATAAAATAAAAATAAAAGTAGAAAAATTGCAAATAAAATAAAAAATTGTGAAAAATAAAACAAAACTTACTCATTCTCACTCGCTCTAATTGATATGCTCTCCCGCTCACCTACTTTATTACAAATGACCATGCACGACAGATGCATATACAATAATTTTTTATTTTTTTTATATTTTTATATTTTTGAATATTGGTTTATTTTTTTTATTTTGTGTTATATTTCAATTTGTTTTTTTTTAATTTTATTTTAATAAAATTTTTATGTTTTCTTTTTGTTTTATTGGTGTGTATGCTTTTGTTTTTATTCGATTTCAACGCCGCTACTGTTCACATTTACAGCGGCGGCTACTATCAAAACGCATCGATGACATTGAATGCATGCAATGCGGCATGCGTGCGGGTGGGCGGCTACTGCAGTTAGGCATTGCACGGTAGGTACGGTAGTGTGATGCGCCGACATCTAAAAAGAAAAAAATTAAAAAAATTTTGTAAAATAAAAATGTAAATTTTTTCCCCTATTTTTAATTTAATTTTTTTACTCTACATTTTTTTACCAATAATTTTTTTTTAAACTTTACTCATACGCACACAATCGAGTATTTTGTTTTGCACAACCCCAACGCACGCATTTGGCCACCACCCAATGCGAGGCAACCGAAGGGTGAAGCTTGTTGATGCATTGACATTAACTATGCTGCTATATGCTTCACTTTATCTATTGCCATTACAATAACGACTGCAGCAGTCAGCTCTGGACAAGAGGACTGCAAGGACACAAACGCGGTTACAAAAAATGGCAAAAAAAAAAAAAATCACAAAAACGAATTACAAAAAATAAGGACAAAACAACCAAAAATTTTGCATTAAAAAATAAAAAATAGAGAAAATAAAAAAGTTTGAAATTATATAAAAATGCGCTAAAATAACACACGCACACATTGTTAGGCGCACATTGATGAGGGAGCACTTGCATGGAATGCTGCACTTGCCGTGCATTGGATAGTGTGGACAGTGGGCTATGGGCTGTGGGCTGTGTGGGCTATGTGTGTGCAATAGTCAGTCAGTGAAAGTAGGCAGCTGCAATAGGCGGGCGGGCGGGCGCGGATTTAATAATTGAATGAGGTTGTTTTGATGCAAAGCACATGCATGCGTGTGCACTTTCCGAATGTTCGAAATGTGCAAAAAGATACATGACTGTGTTGTTTACTTAATAGGCGTTGTGTATAAAAATGTTATGGAAAAATTATAAAAATATTTTAAAATTAAATGTGTATATTCCATAACCAAAAAAACAAAAAAAAAAAAACAAAAACAAAAACAGAACATAAAAAAATACATAACTTTATATAAAAAGTAACAGAGATGCTTCTAGATACAAGCAATACAACAATATATACAGAATTCAGAATTATGCCTGTGAATAAACTACGCTAACCAAACTTTTTAAAAGATATAGATTTGGTCGGTTTATACCTGCGATCCTTCGAATTCACTTACACCTATTGGCCCATTGTGTTATCGTATAAGGAACGCAGATGTTTAAAAACCAACTTAAACTATTGGCAAAGTCTAAAATGCTCTTTTGAGGAAGGTTCTAGAGTTCTGGATCCTGGACCATATGTTATCGCATAAGAAACGTAGACGTTTAAACACCGCCTTCAAGCTTTGTCAAAACCTAAAATGCTCTTTAAGAGAAGGTTTTGGTATTCTGGAAGGATTCACTTATACCTATTGATCTATATGTTATCGTATAAGAAACGTAGACGTTTAAACACCGCCTTCAAGCATTGGCAAAACCTAAAATGCTCTTTAAGAGAAGGTTTTGGTGTTCTGGAAGGATTCACTTATACCTATTGGCCCATTGTATTATTGTATAAGAAATGCAAACGTTTAAGAATCGTTTTCAACCTTTAGCAAAGGCTAAAATGTTCTTCATAGGAAGATTCTGGAGTTCTGAAAGGATCCACTTATACCTATTGATCTACATGTTATCGTATAAGAAACGTAGACGTTTGAAAACCGTTTTCAAACTTTGGCAAAACCTAAAATGCTCGTCAAGGGAAGGTTCTGGAGTTTTCGAAGGATCTACTTATACATATTGGCCCAACGTGTTAGAAAAGGCAAACGTTAAAAAACCACCTTTAATCGTTGGCAAAGTCTAAAAAGCTATTTAGAGGAAGGTTCTGGAGTTTGTCAAGATTTAAAAAAAAGAAAACCTTAAAACAGGGAAATGGCGCCGCAGAAAGAGATATAAAAATTTTGAAATTTTCACTGACATATTTATCTTTAAATTGACTAACATACTTTACTTTGGCAGTAACTCTAAGACTCTATTAGAAGATAATAAAAAGTACTAATAATACTAAAAAAGATGAACTAAAGTGCTGAAAAATTCCACTCAAACTCTATTATCATAATTTATAATGATATATTAATATTTAAATAAACCAACATAATTAATTCTGAAATCCTAAATCAAATTTTCTCTTCATGTGCACTATCATATTTACATTTCAATAGACTAGTTTGATAATAATTCTAAATAATAAATTGACAATAAATTCTTTAATAAAAATCATTAAATATGTAAGGAACCACTAAAGCCTACTTTCAACTTCATCACTCTACTTATTAAAGTCCTTCCATTTTCAACCTTTCCAATATAAAAACTAAATCAATGAAATATAAGAAATTTTAAGCATCGGCTAAAGCAGAAGTATTTTTTTTTTGTACTGCAACTTACCACAATAAAAATTGCATTTGGAAATTGCGTGAAGCAGCTGCATTTATGCCACTTTTGCAACATACACCCATGCTTAATTGCAACACAAACTGCATCGCAACTCCATCGTTTCTACTACTGATAAAGCCCTTTGCCAACAAACACCAGAAATTTCTCGTTGCGTGTGGATTTAATGCAGTACGAGGTACCCAAAATGATTTGCCATAAAACCCAAATCCCAAAAAAGAAATTTTTTTTAGGATATCAGCCCTGATATAAATTTTTTAGAATATTTTATGGAAAGCACAAAAAAAAAACAAAATAAAAAAATATTTTATTTAATGGTTGTTATAAATATGTACTTAAATAGAAGTGCCGAAAATATTAAAAAATAAATTTAATAAATTAATGCACTTTTTTCGTACTCGGCCTGGTGTAAAACTGACATTCTGACAGTCTCCATACTCAGATGGGCTGTCATTATATTGAACTGAACCAATATGGCTAACTGTACACAAAATACTTCGAATCAATGTCATTAAATTTGTTTTATGTGTAGGCAAAGTACTACAGCTAAACAGTTGGGGTAGACTAAAGTTTACTCAAAAAGGTTATGGAAATATCAAAAGTCGGAGAAAAAGTAAAGACAGAGATAGAACCTACTATACATATCTAAAAACGATAGGAGAGAAAGAAAGTGGGACAGACAGAGACAGATAGGTTCCAAGAACGAACGGTTTTTCACCCTGAAATCACTTCATCCTGAGTTTGACGATCAAACATCATTCAATACTTCCATCCATCCGCAAACCATTCTTACCCGTAAATAATCTCCTCGCCTCTCGCCTCTTCCATTATCTACCCACATCCTAACATTTGTATACGTCTTTGCAAATCATTTCATGTTATCTGCGTTTTGAATCCTTGTAGGCTACACCAAAAACAACAAAAGAAAAAGAGAGATAGGTAGATGCGTAGATAGAGAGATATAAGAGAAAGGAAGGAGCTATGAGAGCGAGAGAGAGAGAAGAGAGAGAGAGTGAGTGAGGGGAGACAGACAGAGAAGGGAGAAAGAGAGAGGGAATAGAGATAGCTGAAGAGAAAGCAAAAGAGAGCGAGAAATAACGAAGAATAGAGAGAGGAAGCAATGCACTAAATACATTATTAAATACATTGTTATTGAACTGGACTCGACCCTGGATTTGTTAGTGTTGATAATAGAATAAGCATTTGGTCTTACGACTATGATGAGGTTAAAATAACACTAATATGGCTTGAAGCCTACAAATCTATATCAAATCAAATCTATAAGTGCCAATAATTTGCTGGTTGATTTTTTTAAAACTGTTGGTAAAGTACCATATAAACAGATACTACAAAAAAA